ATCACCTTACACGAAATAGGGTGAATACATCTCATTAGTCTTTTCTTGCCTTGGTTCTAATCATAGTCACTTCTCTGTACTTTTACCTCACCCTTTCTCTCTCGTATTAAGACCAAAAACACAAAAAAGGCTCATATACATAACCACACGTATGTCTGACCTGGCGAAATAGGAGTGATGGTAATAACATGTATGTAGAAAGGGGTATTTAATGGTCATCACACCTTGATGGCCGAGAACAGATGTTACATTTGCTGTCCTAATTACTTTAAGCCACCACTGCTGGTTTCGTGCATAAGCGAATACAAACAGGCTCATACACATAAAGAGACAAACACACTCACAGGCATAGAAGTTGACATAACCTTAACTAACCACTTCACTGTATACTTGATCAAAGAGGCCAGATGTAGAGTATAAATACCACTTTTTAGGGATTTGCTGGTGAGTTTTTTTGACTCGTTGGCTTGAATTTTGTTATGACGATGTTACCTCGCTCTGATGATGTCCGTTATATGACGGACGAAAGCTTAGCACCTTTTCATCTGAATCGAAGGAGATTACCTCGGAAACAGCGTCAGCATGAATCTTCCAGTAAAGCGAATCGACAGCTGGTCAAGAGGAATGCGCCGTCGTCTTCTGGTGGAACCGACCTTCGAATCTCTTCGCCCAATACTTTCACTCGAAATCAAAGTAAGCTCAACAAGCATGAAAGAAGAGATTCCTCAAAACCCAACGTTCTATTTTTGTGATTTACTTTACTTCATCACAGTAAACGAAATAGGGTGATTACATCTCATATAACTGATTTCTTACTAGTCTCGAGACTCTACTTATAAACGAAAATTAAGTAATGCAGTCGATTGTCATAGTAAATATAACTGCTCCATCGACAAATTTACGGAATAATATGATATGGAAAAATGCCTGGCCCTGCTTGAAATTATCATCTGCCTTATGATCCAAGAGCACTCGTGGTAATGTGGCGTAGTGGTTAACGTGTCGAGATTACACGCTGCACTGTCGTAGTTCGATTCCCGCTGGGGTTCGAAACGAAAGTTTACCCTGAATGCGAACACCTTTTTGGGAAGCAAGGTTATGTAAAATTCTACGGAAAATCAGCTTCACTCATATCATTGTGGGAAAAGTCAATTACCAGTCCTTCATCGCCTTAAACGAAATAGGGCGTATATATTTCATATAACTGATTTACTGGTGGTCTCGAAACCTTTTACTTTGCCTTGACTCCCACAAGGTTTTCTCATTTTGGCTATACTGTAGTTTTTACTTCATCATCACCTAAGCAGACTTCAAAACTGGATCATGAAAGTGATTTATCAAAGTGTTACAACTCTGCCACATCCCTCGGTTACAGAATAGATGAGCTTATCAAGGCTAGCCATGCTTTCCTTCATAGATTTCCTATATAATTGGTTTTCGGGCATTTCATTCATTCTTAAATAATTATTTAGTCAGCCTATGTTGATGAAGGTTATTTAGGGACTGTTAGTTGGATATTCCCAAAATAAGATGATTAGGATTCATTCTTTAAATCGTCTTAAGCGACCTATGATGACTGGACTCCTATTCAAGAATTACTGATACTTTTTGAAACTTACTTTTATAAAAAATAAGTAACTTCAAGGATTGTGATGGCACACATGTTTACTTAATCGACAATTCCACCATGAATGGCAGTTGGATGATGCTTGACTTATCTTGAATGTCGCATCTGCCCTATAATTTACTGACACTCGTGGCAGTGGAGTCGAGTTGAAACTTTGGCATGATACTCAGCACCCTGTATAGAATCCCACTGGGGTGCTAATGCGATGATATAGCGAGATCGAAACGGCAATCTCGTCATAGCTGAATGAGACGGTCTTTTTAGAGTAGAGTACAAGTGAAGTAAGTGCAATGGCAAACGTATATTTGTCATTACAATCGACGATATTACTATATATGGGGCAAGTAGTGAGTCTTGTCCACAATTTCGAGCTTCCCTAGATTTGACTTGCCTATCAAGTGACCCTAACTTTCTGTAATACAGTATTCTTTCATTCTTCACCGATGCAATGAGCCCTACCTAACCAAAGTAAAACACAAATTTGGAAGATCCCTTCTTTATCTTTGCTGATTATGCGCCACTTTGATGGACGGCATCGTATATTACGTTCTTAGATGATGCCTCCTGAAAAATAAACGTGGAAAAAGCCCTAAAGATTGTCTTTTTTATTGTCGTTGCCCATGGCATGTTCCTATTTACTTGAATGCAGGATGTACGCATGCCCTCTGTTTGTCAGCTCCATTTTCCGCGTATTTTACTTGCTGTTTTTTTTGTTCGCTATAAAGTTATATGTAACAATTTGTAATAAGTTGTATAATCTAGTTAAAAACTTATGGGATAAATTAATTATAGTTGATAATTCTCCTCTGTTTTTTCGCCCAATAAGTATTATTTTGGAGGATTCGCTTTAGGGTTTATCGCAAATGTTTCATTTCCTTTCCTTTCTTTCATGTAGGATCGCATTCTCATGGAGCAATGGCTGGAGGAGCTGTTGAACGGGCTGACTTTATCCTGCCAAGTGCTTTCCTCGATGAACCGAAAAGCGCACTGGGTGATCGGTGCCGGTAAAGCAGCCCACTCCAATGAACGTCAGGCCAGTGGAAGTGGCTCGTCCTCCTCGACTTCCACCAACCTCAGCACAGTCCAGTCGTCCGGTGCTGGGCAGGACGAGTCAGCCCGGCTGGCCGGCCCGTCTGTTGGTAGCCCAACGGGTCTGGACCGATGTGGTCGATCCGACAATGTGGGCTTTGCGGGTACCCGTGAAGGCAATCGTCGAGTGGGTCCATCTCCTGATCGGCGATTTGGCCAGACCACCTTGACGACCGCCGCCATAAGTTCGCTGGGCCAAGTTGGCTCAACTACTTTCGGCAACGATGGGGGCCGGCCGGCCAGGCTGGTGGCCCGAGCCAGCGAAAGCTTGAAGGCAGGAATTGCACCTTTAAAACAGTTCCGCAGCGGCCAGCGAATTGAAGAAGCGATAGCCACTAAGACTGGCGGAGACGAATAGTCGCCGGACGTTGACTGGAACGAGATGACATTTTGATGCCTGTTGTAGTAGACGAGATTCACATTGAAATATCTCCTTTTACCTGAAACACGGACATGAGGCATGAGGAGTCGATGGAGAAAGCATTAAAAGCAGACAAAAGTACCCCTTCACACACATTCGCTGCATTCCTTCGAGTTATCAACAGAATATAAGCGCGTATGCAGAGAGACAAGTACATGAACAACAGAACACATCCACTTACAGATAAATAGATCAATTCACAGACTTATTGACATACAGAAGTCTCAAATAGAGTGACGAATAAATACATTAATAACTATATTTATATACATATATATATGATGAAGTAAATGATGGAATTCCAGAAAAATTGAAACGCCCCAGATATGTTATGTAGGAAGGAAGCCAGATAGTCATAGTAAAAGAAATCTTCAGGGATTTGGGACAACGGCTTGATCGAGTGAGCTGTAGCAACTAATGGGCCGCCGAGATATAGTGAGAAATACATGTAGACTGATAAATTCTGGCAAGCAAGCTAACAGAAAGAAAGTATTTAGGTAGATAGATGGATATAATGCAAGACATATTGTCATATAGATAGATAGATAAATAGATAAATGGGTGTATGAATAGGATGGAAGAAGTAAGCAATTGGACGGATAGGCCTAAAGATACTTAGAAGTTGATGCAATGATTGGTCAGCAAACAGTCATTCAAGCAAAGGGGTAGATTAAACTAGTGACATACCAATGGCCCCAAAGACAGCTTGATAGACGCATGCCAGATGCTTGCATCAGCATTGAAATAAGAAGTGAACAGTAAATAAATGACAAACCCGGACAAATACTAACCTGGCCAAACACACACAGACGAATGGTGACTTAGTTTTAAGTACAAATTGGTTGTCTCTCTGGTACCGTTTAAGTGACAGACAAACATTCAGACACAAACTCATGGTTATTTTGACTCTCCAACTGGCATTTATTGGAACTTCCCGAATCAGCCTTCGGGCAATTTCTTTTCGTTTTGCGCCTCTGAAGATGCTCTTACTTGATCTGTACATAAATAGCTTTCGATAAACTCGGATTCCAAACTGGCAATTTTGTAGTCATTCGTATTCGTGTTTTAGCTCTGCCCGAGCCCGAACGGGCTGATATTTAATGCAAAAGTAAATCTTGATTGATCAGGTTCGGGCTATACAACTTTTTTGACAATAATATTCAGTCTTGTCTATCATGATGAAGCGTCCAACCCTTCAATATCTTTGTAATTGTTCTGTTCTTATCCCTATCGTATCCACTTGACTTTTAGCGTGTGTATTAGATTGACCAGACATCATCTCCCATTCTTCTTTTTCACTCATTTAGCTAAGTTAAGAATCCGATATTTGTGACATTTTTTAGCTGTGACATCTACTTTCCCTAGAGCTTTCTCACTCCAAATGGAATACATTTGGCGGAAAATGTCGTCCCTTCTTCTTGCAGTTTGCTACCAGACAACTTTGTCTCGCCCACGGTGGGGGACTTATCTGATGAGTCCGCTGCTGTTAATATGTTCAGTCGTTTTCTCGGCTGCCTGTCAGCCGGTGCATGTTCAATGTTCACCGGGCCCTATTTAAAGTTTTTTTTAGTTTTTTGGTCTTTTTATCCCTTACCACTTCTGTCCTCCTCGGTCTGTGTTCTGTCAGACGCCTGTATCATGGAACGCATGATGAGGCTGTTC